ACAGACAATACAATCCCTTTTTCTTTCTCTCGCATTTAGAATATGCTACTGACTAGTCAGTATATTTGTTCATTTTTTTGCTGCCATATTGGTTTGTTTTTTCTATTATATTGTCTAATAATTCATTCGTAAAAAATAAAGTAAAATAATCTATTGGATGTCTTATATGGCTTGGTATTTGTAGTCGGGGTGTTTGTTGATGTGTGCCAAACTCGATTATTGAAGGAGAATCGGCACATTCGCTAATGTCTTTCCGCTCTTCATTTAATTTGTCGAACTTCTTCTTCTTTTTGTTGGTTGGATAATATTATCATCATAATCATTACTATCTTCGGTGCGAATAGTAATTTTGTAAAATTTGTCTGTATGAATGTCTATTTGAAACTCATCTTCACTACTGCTTAATTCACAAAATGTACCGGTCGTTTTGCCATATTTAAAAGCGCTCGGTCGTTTTAAATATTAAGAAAACTACTATATAGCAAAGAAAAAGGCTAAAAACACTACTATGATAACTTAAAATTATTTTCAAAATACAACACTGTTTATCCCTGCTATATGTAATTTATTCAACTTTTTGATGCAAACTGAGTCATTGTTTATAAAATAGCCTGTGCCTCACAGAGTATGTTTGTCCACTCAGATGGACAGCCGTCCCCAAAGTGTTAATATTTTTATTGACTCAATTTCGGCATAGATTAGTATGTATATTGAAATGCATTTCTCATAATAAAATGAACATAAATTTTTGAACTATTTGTCCAAATACTTAATAAATCTCTCGAAATTTGAATAACACACTGTAGAACACATTTTTGTCGAGTATTAAGTTTTGAAGTTATTGGAGTTGTTAAGTGGATATAACTCCTTTCTGAAGGAGTCAAATCCTAACGCACGCACATACATCCTTTTTTCCTGAAGTATGCCAAGTTTAAAAATATGTAAAAGATACATAAAAATTTTCATTTTCGATTTTTTCCCATTACTATAACTTACTGCACGAGAAGAATTTTTTCGAAACACAGAATTTTGTGATGAGAAAATCTATGCTATGATTTAAATTTATTGACTAGTTCGATTATCATAATTTTTAAATGTTTACTTCTTTCATAATTATTTTTTATGTCCATAAAAACGTTTGTTTAAATTTCGGCTTGTCTCACCTATGTATGTTAATTTTCAATTTAAACATTTGATTTGGTTTGGAATAAATTTTTGGAATAAATTTCTTTAAATTCATCAAAAATATGGATCATTTCAAAGTTCGATTGACAAAACCACAGTTGACCAATGTTATTATTTAATTACGATTAATTACTTAGATTATTGTGTGCGTTTTTTATGTTGTTTGTTTTATAATTATTCATCTGTATTTTGTTTCTTAGGAATCGATTTGAAAATGAGTTAGAGTTAAATCATTTGCAAAATTTGTTTAAAAAAATCTAACTTGGTTATTGCATTTTAGAAAGATGATTAGCATTTTTATTTTTATTATATATATATATATATATATATATATATATATATAATAAAATATAATGTGCGATATAGTACAAATGAATGGCAATAAGTCGGTCACTATACTTTCTCTCATTAATGTGAGAACAAGGTCATTTATATATATATATATATATATATATACAAATCAGCAAAATAAATTTTATTCTTGATAGTATTTTATATTTAATTTGAAAAACATTCACTATTATCTTTTAGTTTCGATAAGAACTTGTTGAATTTCCTTGCTATATTTTTTGTTTTGATATTGCGAATTATATTCAGCGATTATTATTACTGAATATGAGTAGAATAACAACTCGAAATGTTTTCTACGTTAAATATCAACTTAAATTTAATAATTGAATGGATGTTTTTATCACGAATTGTTAAATATGATTTTTGTTTCTATTTTCAGTATGTAAAGAATGGTTGGTGAGAGAAGATGGTGCGCTGGCGTACCAACTACAATCCAAAGAAAGTAAGTCCATATTTTTCATATTTATTTCTTATTTTAATATATATAATATATATATATATATATATATATTTCAAATGATTCATTTACAACCAGTAATAAATACTAATCCGGACGCTTCAGTCTCTCCTTTATTTTTTAACGGTTATCGGTGACTCAGTTTTCATTTTAATTTTACAAACACACATTGCGTCGAAAGAATAAATATTAGTTTAGCTTTATAATCAGAATTAATTCAAATTCATATTTGTATTACTTGCCAATACAATAATCATTAGATATGACTATCGTATGTCAAATAAATTATTTTCTAGAATTTCATACGATTGAGATTTCGAACATTTCCGGAATTGTGAATTGTAATTATTTAAATTCAGAAGTTGGTATATATATTTTATAAATGTAAAATAAAAATCGAACTCAATAAAGAGGTTGTAAAAACCAATTTTGAGGTTGTAACTTGATCCTAACTAAATTCAATCTGATTCATACTAAAATCATTTCAGAGTCATCATTAGAAGGTTTATACTAGGTTTGTGTGGTTCAAAAGATTTATATAATATTCTTCAAATGTACTCATAAGTAATAATCAATATTCTTACTGAATTCTCGTAAGTTCATACAATATTTCTACTGCATTCTTATCTCCTAAAGCTCATCACTAACTACGTTTTTGTTGGATTCTTTCTAGGATCTGATTGCATTTTTTACTGAAATTTTGGTGTATTCTAACCAGAATTTTTGAATAATTCATTTCGGGG